GAAAGGACTTGTATCGCTGAAGTTTCTCGGAAAGAATTTCTACGGGAAATTAACAAACAAGCAGATACGTAACAATAACCTTTATCATGGTGAGGTAATTCGTACATGTACATAGGCTTAAACAAGTGAAACTTTCCACAGTGCTGACATACAGTGTCAGTAAGGTTATTTTATATGTTATCGTTTCTCTTTATTTTTATGTTTATTCTATTTTGTACTAATTTGAATTTTACTATTATGACTATTCTTCATTGCTAGCTTAGTATATAGATTTAGGACTATTCTCGGCACTTGCCGAACCTTGTGGAATACTATTTGGTTTATGGCCAAAATTATCGTTAAAAGTGAGAGTACTAAATATTGAAACAATACATCCTTATGATTATAAGTACTGTAGCTGTAATAGTATATTTAGTTAACTATGCTCATTACTAGGTATATTTTTAGTTCTGATCTATGTAGGTAGCTACCTTTTTTCAGAAATTAATTCCATGTTGTAGGCCACAGAGTGAGAAACAAGTGAGTGTTAGGTGTAAAGTGAGTATAAATCTTATTTCTGGTTAAAGAGGGTTGAATCACCACAGTGTAATATGTGTTATTTTTCCCTCGTGGATTTCCCTCAGATCAGTCAGTGTTAGAGCCCGCTAACTGGAATTTCAACGGATACTGAGTTTACAGTGTGTATGTGTGTGTTCGTTTATCTTTCCGATCTTTGATTGAGTTCGTCAGAAAGAAAGAATCAAATAACGGAAGGCGCAGAAGGGTAATTAATCTTCATTATTAACAAACAGAATCACAAATAAAACAATCAAAAAAGGCAAGTATGTCTGTTGTGGGTGTGTTGGATTGATGAGAAAAAGAAGGGATGTGATACCTTAGTGAGCTCTCTCTCGCCAATCTAGTGGGTATCACCAACTCATCTCTCACCCCTCCTCCCCACACACACAATTGTAAAGCAAACTACAACTAAATGGAACTACAAAATGAAAATTAACTGAAAGATAAAACAATATTTAAAAACAGGAAAGGCTAACATCTCAGTTGAATTAAAACAATGTTAAATCTTACATAAAGCTGCCATGAAAAGTTACGATAAAAGTCATACCAAAATCAACGAGTCCACAAAAACGTTTTGAATTAAGATAAATCGCTGCAAATTCTGTCTAACAGGATTTTAATACAAAAAAATACAATATCAACTTAAGCCAGGTTTACGCACGAAACCTCTTTTGCATGTGAGCTCTGTCCACTCATGTTCATGTGGGAGAAACGCCAAGCCATTATCTAATCCACTGACAGAAAAATAAACTTTATATTCCTGGACGTCATGCACTACCTTTCCTCTAAGAAACTTCGTTAATTACAATTTCGTGGATGAGGCCTCGAACAGAGGTAGCCAGAAGCAAAGCTAAGATGTATTTAATTGAGTGACTTTTTATGTCCAAAGTGAACTGAAAGAAAATACGTAAATTTCAAAAATATTTACCTATTAACTGAGGGAGTAGATGATGAAACTCGTCATCTCTGCAGTAAAATCACTCGCCCAACAATACTAAACTATACTAGAAAGAAAAAATGGTTACGCAGTTCACCTTACACCATAATTCAAATACAAATATCTCAGTAGAAAGGGGTTATTCAGTCTTGTGATGATTCAATCGTCCCATGATAAACCACAGAAAATAAGTTATCTCCAATAACTTGGGTTTCATTCTGAGACACTTTCTGTAGCCTGTCATCGTCCTAACCTGGAGTGACCTTTCTAGTAATAGTGTAAAACAATTCTCGGGGCACATTAGGTCCCTAGTCAGATGAGGACGAAACTGTGGTCACCTTTCACCTTCCATGGCCGATTACAGGCCTGTGGGTCTTAGAGTGTGATTTTTAACATTAATAGAATGTTCAACAACTGGCTACTTCACAAAAAATCAAAAGCGCTAAGAATTTGATCTTACATAGTAAAAGTCAGGATTCAAAATGCTGGGTCAAATAAATTTTGGTAGGTCAAATCGCTTGATTAAAAGTTATAAGAGGACCAGTTATACCAACCATTTGGCCTAATATTTCCTTCAGGATCAGAGTGTGAAACTTAAAAAACTGGTGCTCAAGCTCCATGTCTACAGGCTTACGTGTGCACACACTGGACTAGCCTGTAGAATGTAGATCATGATTCCTATAACCTGTGACAGCTTGGTCAACACAGGTATTCTTGAATCAACAGCATGATCGTGACCCATAGCTGAATTCTATAAGGTTGTCGTTGCTGTCACGATGGTCCAGAGTTATCCTGTGACCTATCACATCTTCTACATTGCCGTCTTGTTGATATAAAAACAGAGCCTGAGTCCAGAAGTAATGAAAGATAAGTCAAATACTATTGAAAAAATAAGTTGAGAAAAACTTCAGATAATTTTTTGTTTTACGTGAAGTTTTGGTTTATGCCTTTTTCTAGGGTCTTTGAACATCACAGAATATAAAACTGGTTTTAAGTTATAGTAACGGAAAATAATAGTTGAAGCATGCTAAATGTATTGTTAAACAAGGTAGAGTCATTGATCAGAATAATAAACGTAAATAATAAAATAAACCTTATATGGAATAACAATAGGTATACAAGGACCAGTCATTGTCTTTTAATAGAAGAATACTTAGATGAAATTTGTCACAATTTCTCTGAAGTTGTTTGTTGTATTTTTTATATGATTTCCAATCTTCCATCAGCAATAAAAACTGATAAATCAAACACTGCTCGGGAACCAAACTTTTTTCTGACCTTGCAAGCACTATCATTAACATATTGTCTTCCTCTCCTTCCCTCAGCCACAAGTTAAGTATGAAGAAGAATGTCTACAGTCTCTACATCTCGCATGAAGTTATTATTGTCTCCGACATTCCTTCTCAGTATATTTGCATACACTATAACTGTCCTTGTGCTTTAAAAATGTTTGCAAATTGTTCAGAAGACCGAGTAATTTGGGAATAATGAAATTTACTCGATCGAAAATATTCCATTAAAATCAAATAAAACATTAGGTACACAAAGTTTGTATTTGTTATGCCACTTACACTTATTGTACATTTTTTTCCGTAGGTAATTTCACCTCACGCATTTCAGTTCAACCAACTGAAATACTTCTTGCCAACACTTGCTAAACACAGATCAAACTGTGTTTTCACGTATTTGTGATGTGAGCACATCTATTGCTCTTATTTATTTACAGCAAATTCATTACCTGTCATATGTTTCATTGTGAAACTGAAACATTTTCACCCCAGCATTAATTAAAGCAGCAATTGCACTATTTCTTCAAATAATGCTTTACAAGCTAGTGTCCACAGTTATTGTCATAACTCTATATAACATTTAGATGAAATTACTGCATTCTCATTCAAACGTTTCCTTCAGTTCAGGTTCTTAATGATTGGTTCATTTTTAGTTGGACAACAGTTGTGAATGACTTTGTGCAAAGTTTCATATATGTATGCCACACTTCACATTATATATAATCACAAATATATTTTACAATATAATACATGTAATTTTCCAACTTCCACACATTGACAGGTCGCTTAGGGCTTATGTGCCGTTACTTCCGTAAGTGACCCGGGCTACTATCATAAACTACACGTTGGTAATTATGGTTTGGTAACATGCTGCCCTCTGGGAGTGGTGATTCTCACAAAACTTTACAGGGCTCACAAAATAAATAACATAATTTAGCTATTCAACTACAATTCTTGGTGCCAGAATTAATATTCATTCTGTTGCTGCCTTTAATATCAACACTTACTGTAACCAATTTTAGCTAAATACATTGGCTTATACAAGTTCGTCAACTCATGCTAGTCGGCATCTCAGAAAAGTAAATATAGATAAAGTTCAGAGAAATAAGGTCTATTCCATCAAAATTGACCCAATTCATCTTCTACATTAGCATAGAATACAACTTTATCACTGCAGATGGAGAAGTCAGACACAATTAAGTGGACCTACAGCAGTTCCTCCAAACCCCTGTGGCCTGTTTGAGAGAATTGCCACTACTCAGATAACTTCATAAAATATTTGCCTGCTCTTTAATAAAGAAAAATTGCTTGATAGCCCAGAAAGGTAATCAAACAAAGCATTGTGTATGTTATCTCTCACACTACAACCCAATCTCTAGGAAAGCAAAGAATGCCATATTATTTTAGTCCGTAATCTTTCAACTACATGGCCATTCATTTTAGTTGTGTTGATCAAGTGGTCATTGAAAAATACTATCCACATATTTTTTCAGACTATCACTTGCTAGCCCAGAGAGCAAGGGCTACATCACCATTTCAGCCATTGGTTTTCCGACTAAATGACTACCCTAGCTGAGTTGTTATCTCAAACAACTGATCAGGAGGTCATTGGCAGTGTCTCAGCTGACTATTACAGCTGTGATGCTGGCCATCCTCTAAACATTTTAATCATTTCAAGCTCAGGGTTATGCAGATTTACCATTTCACGGTTTGATTCTTAACTTGGCAATAAACTACCTATCTTCACAGAGAAGTTCCCTGGCACTGCAGTGGTCATCAGCAATGTCTGATATATCACCTGCTAGCAAAACAGCTCATGTTAGTGAAGTGTGCCACCTCCTGTATTTCTCCCTTATGTGGTACACCACCCCAATGATCCTCAATGCTACATTTCCCATGGTGGGCACAGCACAGATAGACCATTGTGTAGCTTTGTGCTTAGCTAAGAACCAAGAAAATACAACTTACGATACTTTAGGCCTCCTGGGTGTTCTAGTTAGCCCTTGTTCTCCATTCCAAGCTCACAGCAGCAGGATTATGGCTGGTAAAGGACCTACTCAGCATTGGTGAAAGTGCCATGATCCAGGAAATTACTTCCTCCAGATCTAGCCACCCTTTCTGTAAGCAATTTTGCCTTAGCCATAGACTCATCCCCCTATAGATCATACACCCGTCTTTTCATAGACAAACCCATCTCACTATGCTCAGACTAGTTTACATTACTGCATCATTCACAAGTGTGTGCTCACCTACGCAGGTAGACTTCAGACCTTCACAACACAAGGCTACATAAGGGTTATCTGTGCTAGCCATCTATAATTTAGAAGTGATAGAAGGAAAACAGCTAATTAACACCACCCAGCTCTTTGGTACTTATTACCAATAAAAAGTGGGATTGACCATCACTTTATAATGTTCCCATGGCTGAAAGGGTGAACATGATTAGTGATGGAATTCGAACCCGTGACCCACAGATTGTGCATTGAACACATTAACTACCAGGCCATGCCAGACCTCTGTAGATTTTTCTAGCTTGTGTATTTTCCGCAGTGTGGTCAGCTAGGGCAGCTTAACTAGAGAAATGATACCAAATTATGGAGTGTGTTTATCTAATTATTTCCCCCATTTTTAGCTGAGTTCATCAGAAAGAAATATTTCAATCCCTGAACGTCAAGAAGAAGAATCTGTCTTAACAAATAACAACAAAAACATTGCCATAAATATAACAATATTAAGGATAAGTCTGTTACTGTGTTGGATGTATGAGAGAGAGAAAGGAAGTGAAACCTCAGTGATCTCTCTCTCTCTCTCTCATCAGTACAGTGTGTGTCTCAGAAAAAATCTGCTATATAAGGGATAACTTTGCTTTTAATATAGGATGTTAGATATACATGACTCTTTCAATTTAAGTATAGCACGAGTGTTAAATTTAATTATTTTTAGAAGCAATAGTTTATCACAAGTTTGTTAACATAACTGTTTACGAATCCTACATTATGTAGTTCAATTTTTGTGAATTGGCGATTGTTGTATTATTGCGTCATGTTACTAGGACCTTGTACATTTTTTGCGTTGTTTTAAGTGAGTGTTGTTGCATCATAATATCTCTTAGTGTATGGAATGTCTTAGGCCTCTGTCATGTTATAAATACAAGTCCCAGATGTAGTTCGAGTTAGATAGCTAGTTAGTTAGAGAGATAGCTAGATCTAGACTGTTTGATTGTGCGTTTAGCCATAAAGAGCATATAGTAGCGATTTAAAGTGAAATTGTCACAGGTTGTATTGTAATAAGAGAGTAGGGAAGAATATTTCGTCTTGTCAAGTATTGTCCTATAAAGTAATTGAACCAGCCTGTTTGGATTTTGACAACAAAGAGACAATTATTTAAAGCTCTGGGTACAACTGTGATAACCAACAGTGTAACAGCTATTTGTATATATGTTTGACTTGTTTTAATATATATTATTTTAAAAGAAGTGGGCTGTGTGCTGTTTGTTTATTGTTGAAATTTATCGCCAACAAGTCACTGACACCTGCTGTAAAGAATCCGGCCAGCATATAAAACCTGACACAAGAAAATACAATAACAGTTTCAGCCAGGTTTGCACACCAAGTTAACGAAAAAAATGAGATTTTGATGCCAAGTTGCAGGATGAGAGAGAAAAACAAATACGTTTTTGGTTTGTCTTGAATGAGTCGAACCTTCCCATAGCTTGAATAAAACTGACCTACATTTGTTCACTGCTCTTCCACCAAGTTCATTAGTAGTATAAGCAACAAGGTCTTAATTATGTGGAAGAAAATCAATTAAGATATGTTATATTCACATTTTTAGTACTGTCTTTCATAAAATACACTTTGATCAAAAATATATTTTTGTTTCACTGGTTTGGTCACTTCAACAATTTCCTATTTACGCATACCAGACTGAAAAGAAGATTTGTTGTTGTTCTTTTGTTAAACCTGCTTAATTAAAAAAGTAACCCACGTATTATGGTACATTTTCAGACATATGAAGCACCAGAAAGAAAAAAAGAAAAATCTGAATAGATAGTTAGGACTACTGACAACAACCTGTGATATACTAATGGCAGTCGTGCATACAACTGGCCAGCATGCCAGCTTTATGGAAACAAGCTGTAGTTTTATTAGCGTTTGTGATAGCTGTTCTACAGGTAAGTACGTTTACGTGTAAATATTCAGAATATCATTCACTCAAATAAAGTTTTATGTAAACAGTTATTTAACTTCTTTTTAGATAGTTTTGCCTATAATCACTAAATGTCCATCATAAATTTGTTAATGTATTCATTGACTAAACAGTAAAAAATCGCTATAACAATTGAAGGCTAGTTAGGGATTGCTTAAATCTCACCTTATCATTATGAGAAGCAAAGGTTAACTATTGTGGTATTTTCAGTTGAAACTGATTTCACCCAAGAGTGAATAAGACAATTGTATCCTATAAGGGGAGATTCAATCTGAAAATATTGTGAAGTAATTCTGAGTTTTTCTGAAACTAACTAAATGTGTGCAAAGAAAGAGATTGAATACAAATTTAAACGCACAGTGAAAACCATCTTTGTTTACAATACAACACAACAGTATTTGTATTGCTTAACATAAAGCTCTGTTTCCTTTATTGTACAGTCAGCTCGTAATCTCAAGATTAGAGAAGAATGTAGTTCTTCCAAAAATCTATAAATCTCTAATTCTCAGTCTGTTCCAGTCCGTGAAACATCACATTATATAATCAAAAACTATGATGCCACACTTTCTCAGGGTGAATGGTTATTCACATTAGAAAATAAGGTAGGTTGTAAATATCACCTGACCTACCAACAGAGAAAAGTGCCGTCTACTTTCACAAGCTAAGTACAACTTTACAGCTATCATCTTCACATGCAGAAGAGGTTACCCCTGGTGAATGGCATAACACAATAAGTAGCTAGAGCAAAAGGAACTTAACGACTTTCTTGAATAACATGTTATGTGAAAAACGTACATAAACCTGAATAATTGAAAACACTTTTAAAAAGTTGTATATTATTTCAAGAGGATAGCAAAAACATCACATACCCTCTCTTTTATTTTCAGGCTGTCCCAGCCATTCTCAATTTTTAGAATTTAAACCAAATAATCTTTCCCAATGTATTGGTCCAAAAATTCAGCGTAATCTTCTCTCACCTCTTAAATAAACTTGTATGGCAACAGATGGGAAAAACTCTTTAACAAAGACGCAATTCATGAGATATTAGATATACAGTAGATATACAATAATGATATAATTCAATACAAAATTAAACAGATCCTTCAAGTGAATGAAACATGCTAAATCAAATAAATTACGAAAATATACATAAATACAAAATAAATCCTTTAACAGAATATGAATCAGACTCTTTCTACGATGAAATGATTTTGATAAATAAAAATAATAAAATAATACCATATCACACATTACAATGCAAATAACCTTTGACAGCAAAGAATATAAAACAGTGTAAAACTAGCCATACCAGATAACACTGTAACAATGACAATTGATTTTACTCTTTACATAGCGAAACAAAATAAAAAACAGAAAATAGAATTAACCCTTTAATAATGACAAATTTCAATATTATGTGGGAAATTCTTCAACATAAATTGAAGCAAAATAGACAACTACTATAGCACAGTTTGATAGAAGAAGAAGAAGGACAGTAAATAATAATATATAGAACAGTAAATAGGGAAGAAAAACGTAAATAAATTAAACACATCAGCATAAACTTTTAAAGCATAGTAAAGCATATCAAAATAAATATATGCATGATACAAATACACTTTGGTAATC